ACTTGTTCCTAATAGCTTCTTGTTACTATTAGTAAGGCACTTGTTACCACTAGTAAGGCACTTGTTTCTAATAGCTTCTTGTTACTAGTAGCGATGCCCTTTGCTCCTAGTAGCCTTCTTGTTGCTAGTAAGGCCAGGAGCCTCTAGTAGAGTCCGAACGCTCCGTGCGTCGCGATACCCAACATGTGACGTTCGGTTCGCGTCCTCTTGTTCCGTTCGTAGTAAGGCCAGGAGCGCCCTGTTCGTAGGGTCCGATCGCTCCGTTCGTAGGGCTACACAGGTAGTCCAAGCTTTTGGGCTGGCAGGGTGTGCTGTTTACAACATATTCTTAAGGGATGATGATGCCAAGGTCTACTGTAAAACTCCCAGCCGGCCAATGAACATCATGTGCAGAACCCTTTGTGCAGGCAGGTATGTCTTTTCTCCTTTACCGCCTCCGGCTGCATCATGTTGAGATACATCAACAACTCCAAATGTCTTGAAGCTACACAGCTGCAGGTTTGGACAGTCAGACACCACCATATTCGACGGAAGCAGAGCAGTTTTCTTCCACGGAGAATGTTTTTCGATGTTTCCAGTTTGGGCCCCGATACTCCATGGTACACGCCGGTTTTTTACTCCTTTGCTGTCATGACCCGATACTCCAAAGTGTGCCACGTGTGATTTGACTGTGGCGAGCCAAGAGAAGTGTTGATGGTCAGATTGCCTTTGTCCAAGCGACAGATCATGGAAAGCCAGCGAGCAAGACACATCATCGATAGTTGTAAGCTCCAAAAGTAACGATGTGCCTGTGCAGCAGTCAGACTCATGCTGCTCCGCAGTGCAGCAAATACTTCGTTCAACTAAAGGTTTCACCCTGCGTCGTTGCGCGACATCATGGCTGTAAAGATGGTGTTGTGTGGTGGGTGGCATGGCTGTCGTTTGCGGTGCGAACTGTACTTTCCCACACGAGTGCTGTTGGTTGTGCATGTCGTTGGCGTGCGGAGTCACGATGCATTTTAGCATGTTGAAAATGAGAGCCTCTAAACAGTGGCAGCTCAGACAAGTATCTCCAGCGCTTGGCTAGCACATCTCCGGGTGGAGTTTGGTGCTACCTTTCGAACTTGCAACCATCAACTCATAGACCATCATAGACCCCTGTGGCATATGCTGAACACCCAAATATTTTTTGCTGTTCTCCCTCATCGAAACTCAGGAGCTGGTGGCAGAAATGAAGTTTCAGTCCGACCTCGAGGTGGGAACATGCAACTGCACTGGAAAAAGAAACATCGATATGACGAGAATCCATGAACGACCTGCAGAATTCATCACAGTTTCATTGCAGATATTATGAACTTGTGCCCTGAAATCACCCCAGTGCTTTCAACAGCCGTGCTCAAGCTTTCAATTTGCCCGATCCATGTGCGCCTTGCGTCGGGACGTCGGGCGCAATGAAAGCCACCCTATTAATGATGACGGCCTCCAGGGCTTCCTTGAGCGAGCGCAACATCTCAGTGCCAGCACCTGAAGATCTACACCCTTTGACCTTGGATCTTTGGACCGCCAGTTTCTTGCTGCCCCTCATTCTGAAATCCAAGGTACGCACCTCAAGACTACCAGTTTTCATTCATATTTTGGTAGTGCTGATGACATCGGACCAAGTTGTTTGGGGATAAACACGAGTTTTGTTGAAATGCTCATGGGATGAAGCTGAAGCTCATGATGCTCATGTGCATCACATTGACCAAGGCGGGTAAGTTCAGCACTTGTGACTGGATCCTCTCGTGTATCCTGATCCATTTGCCCTTGCTGGGTCTCTTGCTGGTGGAAGCCACGTTCATCTATTACGTTTTCAACTTCCTCGGTGAGAAAAGGATTGTTCAGGACGAGGACACCGTCTGGCTCACGAATGTATGTGTGTCTTGCTCATGGATCTCATGGTTTAGTAGATGTGAAAAAACACATGCATTGAAGCATCACTGGACGGTTCACCGACCTTTTGTTTTGCATCCTGGAAATCCCAGGAAGTATGAACGGAAATGACCGGTGTGTTGTTGTCAACTAAAGCAGCGATATCTTCAGACGCGCGTTTTCACCAAGGTCTGCATTATGGCTGCAAGCATGATGAACCAGGAGCTTCTTCCATCGGTTCACATGATGCTTTGGCTTTGGGGAGCCAAGCGGAGTGATCAGCGATTGCAGGTGAAAGAAGAGGAGGGTGCAGAGCCGGAAAAGCCAGGTGAGCCACGGTTTTCACCTAGGGCAGGTTTCAACTTGTCAGCAAGACGCTAAACCCTCACAGCAACAAATAATCAGTCATTACAAATAAATAATCAGTCAACTCAGCTTGCACCTGTATGCTTTTCACCCTGCTTAGGTGAATTGACCAATCGACGCAGAGTCGTTTGGTTTTTGCTGCTTGTATTGCGCAATGCCATGGCTATTATATTCTTCGTTTGTGCCGTTAGACACATCATGTCCCAGGATAAAGCTTCAGACCAAATCTTGAACACAACTGCCATGGTCTTTGTATTGGAGATTGACGAGGTCTTCATGAACCTCCTTTTCTCGCCGGAGGTTTTGCATCTGCTGAGCACAGTACCTGCAGTATCAGGTGAGTTGCAAACAAACCATGTGGCTTCAATGCACAAAAACACCGCGGCTTTCATGAAATTGCAGTTTCTCCAGAGTTTTGTCCGCGTCATGGGCTTTCTTTGGGCAACCATTCCGATCACGAAGGGAATGCCAGACGACGCCGAGTTGTCGGAGGCTTATGCGTGCACTGTGCTTCTGATGCTCTTTGCTTCGCCATACATACTGACCTTTGTTCTTCTTGTCCTCTACAAGGGCTCAGGCTTGTGTGTGCACATGTATGGGACCCAGAAGGATTTACCCGCGAGTGGACAGCAGGTTGAGGACACCGGTGGGTCACCGAAGTCTGAAAAAGCCACAAAAGGGGCCCAGGCCAGTGCTTCCAGTGTTTCAAGTGCTCCCTTGGCCACCGGTGATGGGCACCCTTCACAATCGACATCCCGATGGAGTGACGAAATGGATATCTGAGTCGACGGAGGCAAGTTGGAGCTTGGGTCTGGCTGAGACGAGTCATGGCCTCGTTATTTTAAATTTAGTTTGCTCCCAGCGGAAACTCTTCCATCGTTGGGAATGTTTTGGGTTTGTAGCACAGGGATCGGTTTTGTGCTTAGACAAGATGACTGCAGGGCCGAAGTGCACTGTGATCAAAGCGTTCCGTCCACATCTTGGGATGAGCATGGAGTTGGCGAACGGAGCAATACAGAAATCGTGTGTTCATCCGCCCGTCTAGCACGAACCAGTGGCTCGGTACTTGGCTGAGGTGGCAGGTGGCAGCAGACGCCATCAACGAACGGGCAAAGCTAGGCCCTCATGCTCAATTTGTCAGAAGGGACAATCCTGAGCATGTTGGTGTGGTTTCAAGTGAGGTGTACACATGGCGTTTGGAGCATGACCGAGTCTTGATACATGAAGCTACACAGTTGTCGATGTGTGATTGTCGCTATCCGAAGTGTGGTGAACCGCTGCAGGTTTGGACAGTCGGACACCACCATATTCGACGGAAGCAGAGCGGTTTTCTTCCACGGACCATGGTACACGGCGGTTTTTACTCCGCTGTCATGACCCGATAGTCCAAAGTGTGCCAGCGACAGATCATGGAAAGCCAGCGAGCAAGACACATCATCGATAGTTGTAAGCTCCAAAAGTAACGATGTACCTGTGCAGCAGTCAGACTCATGCTGCTCCGCAGTGCAGCAAATACTTCGTTCAACTAAAGGTTTCACCCTGCGTCGTTGCGCGACATCATGGCTGTAAAGATGGTGTTGTGTGGTGGGTGGCATGGCTGAAGAGTGCTGTTGGTTGTGCATGTCGTTGGCATGCGGAGTCACGATGGTGTGTCAGCCACAGTTAACTGGTCAACTCTGAGTGTTACTACTTTCCTGAATCCTCAGACGTTGGTCAAGTGTTAACTCCTGAGGCTCCAAATGTGTTCCTTCCAAATTTGGGCAACTTGCGCTGGCGTCAGGTGGTATCTCCAATGACCTTGGCTGATGCGACAGAAGTGTCGTCAGGCCTCGCAGCTGGCCCGCAAATGCCCCAAAACGATGAGTCGAAATTTCAAGACAGATTGAAGTGCGACATCTGAAGTGGCATTTCTATGCAAAGGCCGTTCGTTCTCTCTTGTAATTCGTCGACAGAGATCGAAGGAAGAGGAGCGACGAGAGAGTCGGTCGGAACATCGGTGCAGAGTGTGCAGGCAGGCATCGGTGTGCATGCATTGTTGGATTCATGCAAATGAAATACATGTTGGGATAATATTTTCGGACTTTCAAAAGAACAGCCTGAAACTCTTCAAGGTTTGCACTGTTGCGTCGATGTCAAACGGCTACTTAATAGTTGTTGGGAGATCGCTGAGGCCGAGAACTTTGACCTGAGGAGTTCCTTTTCTGCCCTTTGAGCGCGGTCCGAAGACCTGGAGGACAAGCGGACGGAGGCGGATGATGAGGAAGTCACAGTCACAGCTTTGAATCAAGGAGTGTCAGACTTCGTCACACGTTTTCATGATACTTCATGTGGCCTATGGTCAGGTTATAACCTATGGTAGCATAGCGGACCTCAAAAAGGGGTGGTAAATGGATGTCCATGAACGCAAATATGGTACCATTGGTTTTAACCCATGGCCATGTGTGTTTCTAGGTTTTATGTTGATTTCAACCTTTTCCACACAAAAGCATCCAAAATTTTGCATCTTCAGATGCACTTGCTGGGTTCGCTGCAACGACTCCATGACACGAACGAGTGCTGGCCTTGGCATGAAGAGTGAAGGATATGCTGTTTCATTTTAAAATTCATCTAATTCAATGCTAACCGATGTGTGTTTATCAACAGCTGAGCAACGGCGCATGCAGATAATCCAAGTAATGGCCGCGATTTTTCATTGAAGAGTTTGTGAGCGGCAGAAAATCCTTGATACTGAAGGGGATGGCGCCCATGCAGTTGCTCGATTTGCTCGTTGCCAGGTGCCCTTTCCGTGGCCGAAAACCCGCGCCTCGCCATGGCGTCATTGACCATGGCGGCGCTGGTGGCCATGGCAGTGCTGCTTCCTGGCAAGCAGATGCTAGCCTTGAGACGCGCACTGGCACACGGAGTGAGCGGGAGTTTCTCAGCCCAGCGCCCACATCTCGTGGACTCAATGGGCGACCTTAGCACTATCGTCGTGGACGAACTGGTCAAGCAGCTAGATCTTCTCAAGGTCCAAGCCCAGGCATTGATCGATCCTGGGCATATTTCAACATACGTTTTAACGTGTTTTAACCTTTAGTTGAGTCTAACCCAAATAGAGAGATTAATGACCCCGGATTAATCAGCCTGGCTGACTAGGGGTGCCTCCCAACTAACTAGTCAAAAAACCTATTGACAATGGAGTTTCTTAGTCCGGGGGCCTACATTAAATTGTAATTGTTACCAGGGTTCGATCAGTACAGGATTCAATCAAAGCGGCCCGCCAGCGTAGTCCCGGGACCTCCACGTCCTTCGGCTTCAGCTTTTTGGAGACCACATTTGGATCCCGAAGGTGAAGCCGGCCCCCGGGTGGCTCTCGCAGGATTCCGTTGCCAAAAGGCATCGCTTCTTGGACATTTGACTCGGATGGCAACTTTCTCGAGGAGCTCGTGGCTGTTTCAAATAAGAAGGACTTTTGGAAAGTGAATCAGCTGAAGCTTCGTGACTTCTCTACAAAGAATGGTTATACCTTACGTCCGTTGAACAGCGTGTTCAAGTTTGATATTTCAGTTAGAGAAGGAGGAAGCACCCCGCAGAAACGGGTATTCTCTTCGTCCACTGCTCGCTTTAAGATGTGTGTAGACAATGCCCTCAAGTGTATCCTCGTAATGTCTTGTGGTCGGCCACAAAGGGTCATTCTTCAGGTAGATGGAGGCTAGTGGTGGCGTGTAAACCGGTCAAACCATCCGTAGCTCGCGTGTAAGTAAACATACTTATGCATATTTACAGTTCGAGCAGGGTATTTTCGTGCGTTTTGCGAAGTTGATGCAATCAGTGTGGCGATGCGGGCTGAGAACGTGTTATATATGTATACACATATATAAACGTGTGACGTGCGATTCTTAAGAAGACCTCAGTTCTGAGGACGCGACCTTTCCGCAGAATTGGAGGATAGTTTTTGCACTATAAAGACCATAGACTTGGTGGCTATGTGCTACCTTTTGAGCTTCTTTTGCTTTTAAGTTTTGCAGCAGCAATACTAAATACTTTTTCCAGCTCCCACGCTGTGATCTTGCTTTTTGTGTGCTGCCGATAAGGGAGAATGACAGCATGTCCATTTGATGCAGCTGCTCGTCCATCAGGCTGTTGTTTTCCGCGTAAAGGTTTCTCATCTTAGCTCACACTATTCAGGTCGACATGACACTCTTTAGACTTGTGTGTGATGACTCTGAACCGGGGACTTTGGACAGCTCGTTTTGCCCCGCTTTCGCCGGGCAGGATCGCCACCAATCAAGATGGCCTGCCAGATCCAGCCTGGACAGGAGGGGCCTTGTGGCCCACGTCTCCAAAGCGCAATGGACTTTTCCAATCGCCGTCTTCGAATGGGCCGGGCTCCTATAATCCCTTCGCGGTCTCGCAGCAGTCCATGAAGATCGAGGGGCAGCAGTTCCTTCCTATCTTCTCAGATGCAGAAATCAACACTCAAGATGGCTCTGAAGAGGACTTGCAGCTACCAGCCGCCACTTGGGATGTCAAGTTCTCTGACCACTACGCCAGCATGACGCTCACCGACACCAACCCTTCGTCCTGCTACTCAGGCGCGACGCTCCACCGCAATCTTGAAGACATCCTTGCCGCTGACCTGACGAGCCCCAAGGGGGTTGATCTGACGGGTATCTACGTTGAAAGCAGGGCCCAACATCTGGCCACTAAAGAGTGGTGCCCCGTCTACGTTCCAATGACATAGTAGGAGCCCAACCGAAGATGAACCGAAGATCACCCGATTTTTGAGTGGCATCAGCGCCCGCTTGGGTGCGCTGGTCCGTTGAAGCGTCAAAAAGGAAGCCACGCGGCCAGTGCGAGGGATCCACCAGCGTTCCCCAAAGCAACAGCGTCCAATGGCCAAGCATCCGCCGGTTTGAACCACTAGTATAGGTGGCTTGCGACTAGACTAGGTCTAGGTCTAGACGAACGGCATGGAAGCCAAGGTAGGACTGGGTAGCGTCGACTCTCATTGCTAAGGTGAAGGCCACGCACCTACGTGAACAGGTGGGAGTGGGTGCAGCATGCAGACCTCGTGGACGGATGGTACTTGGGACATCTCTTGCAGTTCCCCCCTGTTGGGTCTCATTTGACGTTGTGGGTTCGCCAGACTGGCATGAGCCATGGGCTGAGTCGGCTGGCAGTCCGGGATGATGGATTGGTTGATGTCCCTGTTTGGAGGCACAGATGATGCCAACCAGTTCTGCAAGAGCTACTGACTGTATATAGTAAAACTATTCCGGGGAAAAAGAAGCTTGCACACTTCCAGAACCTTTGACAGCGTTTGGCTCTGGCCGAGAGCACATTTTCCCTCGCCATGCACTTGATTGAACAGCAAGCTGCTGCTGCAGTGCAGAGAGGACTTTTCATTTCTGCAAGTGCTCGTGGTGTGTGCCTGAGTTTATCCTGTCTTGCTCGGTTGTGGCCATCTTACCATTCTTCAGCAAATGTGTCAAAGGTCGACTATTTCATTAGCCACTCCTGGTCATGTCCAGGGTGGAAGAAGATGCTGGGAATGTGCTACTATTTCAATTTCAATTTGGCAACTATGCTTTCCATCTTCACATGCATGGTAGGAGCCTCGATTTTGGTTTTGGTAGCTGGAAGCTTTAGTGGTGTGGCAAGTGAGTATCAAGATTGGCTTGCTGTCACTTTGCTGTACTCGCCAATACTAGTGTTCTTCCTGACATTCTTCTTGGGACATTTGCCAAGATGCAAGACATTCTGGTTTGATGGTGCCTGTGTCAACCAAACCGACATGCTGGAGAAAGCAGCTATACTCCAAGCAATTCCGGCCTTTGTCGCAAATTCCACCGAGATGCTCGTTCTGTGGGATGACGAGTATTTTCAGAGATTATGGTGCATCTTCGATGCTCGGCCATAGAGTAGTGACCTTTTGCTATGAGTGAGAGCATACCCTGCATCCAACACACTTCCAACGACCAGAGGCGTCCTGAAGCATTGCTTTGGGGTCTTTGGGCAGATTTCTCTTGATTCGCTCTTCTTGCTGTTGCAGACTCTTGCTCTTCTTAACCCTGAGATGTTTTGGAGGTCGTAAGACTCCATCCCTTTTTTAGACCGCTACGTACAAGGAGTTGCTTTTGCTTCGAGAGCAGATTGGACCAAACTGGTATCAACTCCAATGGGAAGGCCATCGCTACTAGGGTGGAGGCCATCGCTACTCTGTTGGAGGCCATTACTACTAGGGTGGAGGCCATTACTGCTAGGTTGGAGGCCATCGCTACTAGTAGCAAGAAAAGTAAAGAAAAGAATCAATGAGCATTTTAGGGGGTTCAGCTCCGTCTTCGAATGGATCCCACAAGAAAGCCCGCGCGGGGTGTGTCCGAAGCACACGCTCTTCTTTATTCCATTTCGTTGTCTCTAGAGCCTTTTGTTGTGCACTTTCATCATCTTCATCAACCGCTTTGGCTTCCCCTGTATTTCGACGCTCATTTCTGCTGCAGGCAACTCCTTGTCTTTTTCATTGTCCTTCCCTTTTTGATTCCTTTGGCACTTACTTTGCGAAGTCATCCAAATCTCGTTGCTGCACCTGAAGCCACCATTTCATCCATCGTTTTCCTGCTCATGCTCAGCTGTCTCTACACCCACAAGGGGCCAGAAAGAAATCAAGAACCGTTCCGAAAGCATGTGTTGTGGTGCCATCATTCAAGACTAGCAGCCTAGCAAGCCCGCTTCTTCTATCATGGCTTCTATTCTTGCATCAGTTGATGTTTGCTTGCAATGCAAGCAGGTGGAGTTTGCATGGTTTTAGATGAACCTTTGACTTCTGCTCCTGTAGCACCGATTAAAGCAGAGGGTATCATGACTCTTCCAAAAGCTCTTGGCCCCGCCCACACCTGACTTCGCTGGATTTCTGTTCATGGATATCATTGTATTCGTTCAACCTGATTGTTGATCATGTTTAGGAACGTTGCTGCAGACATGAACGACTCTTTTCCTGCTGACATGCAAACATGAAAGCTGTGATATCCCAGCAGTCCTTGCTGCAGTGGTTTGATATCCAATGATCCGATTTCCCGTGCGCACAGGGTTGAAATCAATGCATCGTGCGGCCAGAAAACGCTTCCAACAACCAGGCAATTCTTTCCTGGAGTAGTTGTCTTGCTTTTTTTTTAAAGGACATATTGCTGATGCTCCTGCTTTCACCTGATTGGACTCTACTGTGTGACACACACACACACACACACTCAGTCCCACTGACTGAGGAGCTCGCAGTCTTTTGCAAGACTTCGAGGTCGCAGTACTTTGCGCTGCATTTTGTGCCCAACTGGGCGCCGAGTTTCAGTTTGTCATGCTTCATGGTGATGGCTTTGGGCGTTTTCATCCTACCTGTGGTGCCTCGCAATGACTGGCCTTCCCCAGATTCGCTCTTCACGTCATGGCTGCTTGGAGGCAGTTGAATTCTAATTCAACTTAATTCTAGTTATACAACTTTAATTCAATTCTATGTATAATGATTTATTGTTTCTAAAAGCTTTTTGTTACTACTAGTAAGGCCAGGAGCCCCCACTGAAAAGAATATCCCACATGACTCGATGACATGTCTATTTGATGGAGTCCCGGCATGTCCGGTGGAACTATGTCCCGCCCAGATGCGGAGATCGGGCGATCTCCGTTTTGGCCCTTGAGGTTCTATGACGAACTTGCACCACTTCCCGTGTTGGTGATGGCTCCCATGCTTTTGGCTTGGTTTGGTTTCGAGAAGCTGGATGGCCACAAGCAGATGTTGGATCAGATGGCATCCTTTGACTTCAGAAATGCGCAGTGCACCTTAGAAACAGATCGGGTAGTTCTTCAGAGGCAAGTGCAAGACCTTTTTGATGAGGCCTTGGAACCTCCTTTGTCTATCTCGATTGATGCGGCAGGGGTTTCAGAGACAGTTTCTGACGCAGATTCAGCGGATCCCCTTCTATTGAAAAAAGTTCTGCAAGGCAGTCGCCACGTCACCAGCTATCCGACCGAAGAAGAAGTCATTGACCACTTTAATGCATATGTGAGGGGCCCATTGCGCGATAGGGTCGTGAGCTTGATGGGTCATGAGATGGACATCTCGTTGAAACTTTGCGCCGTCTCCAATCTGCCGGTGGTGCTGCTGGGATTCTTCCTGGTCTTCAGCTGTGACCGTCACTCAGATTGTTCTTCTGCCCTGGTTCAAGGCTACGCGTCGGTCTCGCACTACCTGGTCACGACGGCGTTGATCAACTGTGTCATTGTGCCGCTTCTCATGTCTTTTGCATTTCCTCTTGCATTGCGGGCCAACCACCTAGTGACCTTGCTGGTCAAAGGGAAGGTCTGGCGTTTTGTCTTCGGATTTGTTGTGAGCTCCTTGGTTTTTGCATTCGTGAACGTACTGCAAGCGGCCGGGGCTGCAGGGATGGTAGTCATTGCCTGTCAAGGTTCGACCCCGTGGGTCATTGGCTACTCTATCGCTGGCCTTCTCATGTTTTTCCTAGCGTGGGTTCTTTCCCGCAAGGAACTTTTCTGCGCCTAAGGCGCCTAAAACACGCGTGTTTTCCCGACAGCAAAACTGCGAGCATCTGGGAGGTGTAGATGAGATGCTGCAACGATATCCTCGTGTGTTGACCTTAAGTTCTGAGTTGGGTGCGCCATCAGGTGGTCTCCATTTCATATCATTTTGTTGTGCAGATTCTGATCCTTTTGCCGCGTATTCTTTTCTTTTTCCAGCTGAATAACTGGGGTCCTTCACACCACTTCCACCATGTGTCGATTCCATCTTTACTGCGCCGTCCGCGAACACCAGGCGAAGATGCTCTTGTGTGGGTGTTCGCAAGGCGTGCTTCTTCAAGGCGCTGCTTGAGGAAACCATGAGAGATGGGCGAAGGGGCTATCCTCCGCACGTCTCCACGTTCGTAGTTTGGACCATTTGCTGGAGACACTCCAGCAAGTTCGCAGGCAGTTTTCAGCCATCAACCCCCAAAGAAGTAGCAGCCAAACGCGCTGTCGACCCAAAAGAAGAAGTTATTCATCCTTGAGACTATGTCCTGTGGTGTTTGGGCTCAACAGATAGTGTAAGAACGCTTCGATTGAAGGTTCAATTGCCATGCGCTTAATTCACGAGCAAGCTGCCTTTGCTAGGCAAAAGGGACTTTTCAAGGCTGCAACTGCTTCGGATGTACTCTTCAGTCTCACCTGCCTCGTGGACACCATATCACAAGAGTTGCCTCGTGGCTTGTTAAAGAACGTTTCAAAGGTCGATTACTTCATCAGTCATTCCTGGGCATGTCCAAGATGGAAGAAAATGCTGGGAATGTGTTACCATCTCAATTTCAATTTGGCAACGATGCTTTCCATCTCTACATGTTTTGCAGGAGCGTTGATTTTGGTTCTGTTGGCTGGAAGCTTTAGTGGTGTGGCGCGTGAGTATCAAGATCGTCTTGCTGTCATTTTGCTCTACTCGCCAATACTAGTTTTCTTCCTGACATTCTTTTTGGGACATTTGCTAAGCTGCAAAACATTCTGGTTTGATGGTGCCTGTGTCAACAACACTGACATGTTTGAGAAAGCAGCTATACTCCAAGCAGTTCCGGCCTTCGTTGCGAACTCAAGCGAGATACTTGTTATGTGGGATGATGTGTATTTCCAGAGATTATGGTGCATTTTCGATGCTCGGCCACAGAGTAGTGACGTTTTGCTATGAGTGGACACTCCCAACGAACAGATGCGTCCTGAAGCATTGCTTTGGGGTCTTTGGGCAGATTTCTCTTGATTCGCTCTTCTTGCTGTTGCAGACTCTTGCTCTTCTTAACCCTGAGATGTTTGAGGGGCGTAAGATTCCAAAAGCCGGCCTAAAGCGCCTTAAAAAAGGCGCAGGCCAAATTTGGCGTGGTTGATCCAACGTCCAGGAGCTAGCAGTGTCTTGCAAGACCTCAAGATCCTCAAATGCCTTGCACTTCGTGCCGAACTGGGCTCCAGGGTGGAGCTTGTCCTGCATCATGATCATGGCCATGGGTGTTTGCTCATACCCCCTGACGCCCCAGATGGTTTGGCCCTCACCTGATGTACTCTTCACATCCTGGTGCCTTGTAGTTGGAGGATGGCAAGATTTGGTCTTGTTAAAGCGTGCAGATCTCGAGTTTCTTTTGCTTCCGACCGGAAGGTTTCTCTAGCTATATCAACAGGGAGAATTTTTGATATATTAATTCTTTTACACATCACTGATCCAATGCCAGGTTCAATTGTCAACTTGCGCCGGTCTTTGTCACGCCGATGGCAGCCATCTTCACCACCTGGTTTTGTTTCCAGAAGCTGGAGGGTCACAAGCAGATGTTGGATCAGATGGCGTCCTTTGACTTGAGAAATGCGCAGTGCACCTTAGAAACAGATCGGGTAGTTCTCCAGAGGCAAGTGCAAGACCTCTTCGATGAGGCCTTGGAACCTCCTTTGTCCATATCGCTTGATGTGGCAGAAGCTTCACAGACAGACGCTGACGTAGATTCAGCGGATCCGCTTCTTTTGAAACAAATTCTTCAAGGCGTTCGCCATATCACGAGCTATCCCACCGAAGAAGAAGTCATTGACCACTTCAATGCATATGTGAGGGGCCCGCTGCGTGATAGGGTCGTGAGCTTGATGGGTCGCGAGATCGACATCTCGTTGAAACTTTGCGCTGTATTCAATCTGCCAGTGGTGCTGCTGGGATTCTTGATTGTGTTCAGCTGTGATCGCCACTCAGATTGTTCTTCTGCCCTGGTTCAAGGCTACACGTCGGTCTCGCACTACATGCTCACGACGGCGTTGATCAACTGTGTCATTGTACCGCTTCTCATGGCTTTTACATTTCCTCTTGCATTGCGGGCCAACCACCTAGTGACCTTGCTGGTCAAAGGGAAGGTCTGGCGTTTTGTCTTCGGATTTGTTGTGAGCTCCTTGGTTTTTGCATTCGTGAACGTACTGCAAGCGGCCGGGGCTGCAGGGATGGTAGTCATTGCCTGTCAAGCTTCGACCTCGTGGGTCATTGGCTACTCTGGCGCTGGCCTTCTCATGTTTTTCCTAGCATGGGTTCTATCCCGCAAGGAACTTCAGCGCCCAAGTCAACGACCCCTCAGTGCTCTTTCGTGAGAACGTATCAATGAGATCTTTATCCTGTTTTGATGTGATTGTTGATTTTCAAGTCCATGCAAGCAGAAAGAGCCGGGGCCCATTCATACAATGATAGCATGTGATAACATGATTGGCAGATGATTAGCAGGCTCTGGGAAGTTCAGGAGTGAAAGCAACTTCTAGCTTGATGCGCTGAATTTGCAAGAGTCACTTTAGTTTCACCAAGTACAGCTCATTTGAAGTGGTGAACGTCGATGCTGCACTAGGTTGCGAGAAAGACCGAGCAGGAGTGGACGTGGCATATGGCATATTCATATCCATGTGAGATTGCTTGACGTCACACACACAGACACACACTCTGACACTTGTATTCAGTGACTCAGTTATCACGATGGGAAGGATGGCGGTGGAACAGCATGGCGAAAAGTCCGAGAAAATTGTAGGTGTTTGAACAAAGGTTGTTTCCCTTGACTGCGGTGACGAAGCGGCTCAAGCTGCAGCGCTGCTGGGGAGGAAATGGTTTAGGGGGGAAGGTATCATGAAAAACCATGGAAACAAACCGAGCAGATTAGACAGCGTGGTCAAAGGTTTCGGTTGCAGGTACGTCACGGTGATCAGCCGTGATATCCTAGTCAACTGAATGGAGCTTCGTTGGCGACAGCCATGCAGCGACTCTGTCGCCCCCTGCATGTGGCGGTGGAAAACCCTTTGTCCAGGGGTGGACACACACAGTTCGCCGGCTTCGGCGCTTTTTCAAAGAACGATGGCACAGACACGGTGCCGCTTGGCGGCGTGTGCGTGGAAAACCTGAATAGATACCTAAAAAGCCTTAGAAGCAAAAGGAAAGAAACACAGAAAGAGCAGCGCTAAGAGGGCAAGAGAGAAAGATATGTGGAGAAAAAATGAAAAATGAATACTTAGCCCTTGACGGGGGTAGGGAAACGAGCCTCAAGAACAACCTAAAAAGCCTGAGAGAAAGCCCAACAAACGACAAAAAAAGCAAGAAGGAAAGCGGGGGGCAGGGAGGGGGTGTATGTCCATGTGTGTGTACGTGTGTGTGTCTGACTACTACTTAGACGAAATGAATTAGGTGCACTAGTTAGGGAGCGGGACTTTAGTCTTAGACCGCCCGGGTAGGAAAGACTAGAACAGGAACAACACAGGGAAAAGCACCGAGACACAAGTGTGTCGAGTACCATTTCCCTATGTTGCCCTAAATAGGTAGGGAGTAGAACACAGCGGGGGGGGGGGG